CCCTTTCTTAAATTCAAAGATAAATTCACATACCCTACATTTGTAATGGTTTTTAACTGCTAGCAATTAGTAATATAGGGAATACAATTTTATATTGGGACTTCTTTTCTCCTCTGTAACAATTTTGTTCAGAAGTACAGTTAATGACTGTAATAGCTTACTCTTTACATGTCTGTACAGTAGAACTTACTCCCAAATAAGTGTGGCTTGAACCTATAGCCTTAGTGTCATATATATCAGGATGGAAGTCTTGGATTTGAAATAAAACTCAACTTTTAACAATGCTTTATTTCTTTGAAGCAATAAAGTTAAAATATATTAACTATTTAAATGTTATCTAATCAACTCTGAATACTATCTGAGGAGGTAGTTGGCATACAAATTTCATAAATTAATAAATGATCCATAGTAAATGTTCTTGTATATCCCAACATGAGCAGCAATTGCTAAGTTGTAAGAACAGACTGACTATAGCCAACATTCAGAATTCTACTCTTAGTGCAAGTCTTTTTGTCATTTCTATGGTTCCTGTATATGTAAACAAAACTTTAATTAAAAATGGCTGCTAGGTGGGTTGATTTCTGCATTTCTTTTCCTGTCAGTAGAATTATGTGTTCCTTTTTTTTAAAGTAAATATTATTACTATTTTCTACAAACTAAAAAAAAGAAACTTCAATAATGTTTTTAGAATTATGTGTTCTGATGTGATTATTAGACAGATACCTCATTGTTTTTCACTTGCACCATGAGTAGAATGTCCTCACAATTTTTGCCTAACAGACTTTCTCCCCCCACCCCCGCCAACCCCTCCATTTATGGTTCACTGTGTAGTATCTGATCGAACACCAACTCAAACACCAGTTGCAATGGGGATGGGCATGGTGCCATTCTTTCCAAATCCCATTGTTGTCGGACAAGCAATGCCAAGGCAAAATAACACACAGGACAAGCTGCCATTGATGGTAGGATCGACAGAAGACACTGGCTCAGGGTCACAGGCTTATCTGCAAAGCTTAACAAATGCCACTGCTGGAGGCCTGCGGGCAGGACATTTCAAGCCACAGAGCCAGCCAAACTCAAACTTGGGGGTAAGAAGACTGGAGCTAGCGTTCGTATTGCATTATTGCTATTGCATTCGTTATTGTTTCTGAAGTCAGTGGGAAATAACGTACTGTAGTATTTCCATCATGGTTCACCTTAATTATAAAAATATCTTTTAAAATGGTTATTCTGAGTGGCAGTGAAAGAATTATGTGCCTTTTATTAAAGCATCTAAATATAACCAAATCTACTGGATGTAATAATATATTTGCAAGTATTCTATATGTTTTTTATGCATCAGAATCTGACATACAGATAAGCAAAGTTTTTCATATGATGTAACCATATCTTATATTTTGTAAAATTTTTGCAGTAGTGTCTAAGAACCAGTGCAGATATAATTAAAGATGTTATCCAAACCAAATATTTGAATGTTTCCTGGGATTGGGGGCATAGTTGGGGACTGAGAGGCTATTGGATCCAGCAGTTTCATAGCCTCTTTCTGTACCCACAAAACATCACAGTCCTGCTACACCTGCTTATCCCTCTTTTCAAGCTTGAAGTTGCAACCTCAGGTGAGTGAGCTATCACAGAGTGGAGACCCACAGTCAGATCTCCTCCCGTGTTGGAGCTCTTGAAGTGGGAGATCCACATACCCTTCCAGGTTTATAGGATTGTTCTCTCAGTTAGAAAAGTGAAACTTCTTCTAATGAGATATTTAATTTCAGTATCCACTTGAAATGTTCTTGATATGATTTGACGTGTTGAGGCTGCATCAATGTTTTATTTTATTAACTTCAATTCCAGTTGTAGAATAAAAATTGATTTTTTTTCAGAGCTCTTCAAATAATCAGACTTCTCTCTTGGGAGATCCCCCCAAAGAAATCCATCTTAGTACAAATCCCTACTTGAACTTGGCAAGTGTACTGCCTTCTGTCTGTCTTTCAGGTAAGCAATGAAGTTTTTCTGGAAATAATGCCAAAAAAACAGCACATATATTCTTCGTTGTGGCCTCTGTGCATCACACATATGGGTTCTGCGCCTGCGCAGTGCCTTGACCGGAAGATTAACAGCTAACGGTTTTTGGTGGGAACTCCGCTCCCCCCCCCCCCAGCATTATATAAGGAGCAGAGTGTCCGCCATTTTCCAGTCTTTGCGACTGCCGTTCGTTGTGCCTAGTGCCGCTTCGCTCTTGCTCAGATTGTTATTTACCTTCTTGCTCGTTCGAAAATCTCCTTTTTTCTCTTACCAAGTTTTTATATCCCTTGTTCTTCTTGTTAGTATTCCACTTATATTTCTTTAACTTTACACCATTTTTTCTTCTTTATCGTTTCTATAAAAAAAAAAAAAACCAAAACCAAAAATATTACTTTCCCACTTTACTATCTCCTTTTTTCTTCTTTCTACGATGGCGCAACGGGCGGCATTCCGCAAGTGCGGAAAATGCGGTTCCAAAATGCCCGCCGCAGACCCGCATGATCTGTGCCTCCTTTGTTTGGGGGAAGGGCACAGAACCGATAAGTGCGGCCATTGTTTGGCCTTCTCTAAACAGGCGAGGAAGAACAGGGAGAACCGCCTCCACAAACTCCTTTGGGATCAGGCTCTCCTCCAATCTGATCGGCTGGTGGCTAAGCCTTCCACTGTTGTGGCCCCACCCGAAGGCCGTCCAACTTCGGCTGACCTGCCGCAACGTTCGGCCTCTTCCTCCATTGCTCCACCCTCACGCCCTTCTGAAGAAGGCGCTCATGCTATGGCCGATCAATCTGTTTCCTTGCCAAAGAAGCAAAAGGAAAAGAAAGCACAGCGACTCAGATAAATATCCTGTGCAGAAGAAGGCCAAGAAAGATAAGACGGGCAAACCGGTTAAGAAGCCGAAGAACCCCGAGCAGGCAAAACACCGTCACTCAGGCTCGGCTTCTTCCTCGATTCCGATACCTACTTCGGAACCGACCCCCTCGGTCCCGACCATCCAGGCGGCTATGAGGGTTACCCCACCGGGCTCACCGCACCGGCCAGCAGCCGAACCCGTTATGGATTTGAGGAGGGGTTCTATCTCTGATGGGGAAATACGAGACTCCCCACCTAGGGCTCGATCACCAACCCCGATGCCTCCGATCCCGATGGACACTGAGATCGCCATCTCTCCTCCGAGAAGCCGTAGAAGCCGTTCCTCGGATGCGAGGTCTGATGATTGGTACCACTCCAGGTACTCCTCTGCTCCGAGACAGGAAGAGTACCACTCTACAGCCTACTATCCAACCTCTAGGGGACAATCTTCACCATCAGCACCTCAACAGCGTTTCCATTCAACACCCAGAGACGCCCCAAGGGCACGATCTAGAGAGAGTGGCAGATCAGAGTCTCCAGGAGATTCTTCCTCCAGTATGCCGCCCCTCTACTGGATGGAATCCGAAGAGTCTGAGGCTGACTCAACCTCGCCGGATGCTGTAGTTGCTTCCCAGGGTCTGGGGTCGCCCGAGGAACTGTACATATCGTTTAACGATCTGATGGCCAGACTAGTGAGATCGCTCAATATAGAAGCCCACCAACAGCCTGGACCGAGCACCGATTGTTTTTATGATGTGGTTAGAGGTGAACAATCCATATCTATTGCCTTGCCGTTTATTACGACCTTACGGCAGGCAATGACTCAGCCATGGGACCTCCCAGCTAATCCACAACTGACCTCTCGTAAATACAAGTCCATGTATCGGGTGCGGGAAGAGGACATCCCTTTTCTTCTCTGCCACCCCAAGCCAAATTCGGTTGTTGTAGAATCTTCGCAGGGTCGGAAAGCCTGTGGACACACCTCACCTCGTGACAAAGAGGGTAGAAAGGTTGATTCTCTCACCCGCAGCTTCGGGCCTTGGTTTAAGAATCTCCAATTACGAGGCAACCCTGGCGTGTTACCAATATTTCCTGATGCAACGCCTGGACGCCATCATCGATACTTTTCCGGGAAACCAGGGTGAACTTGCTAAGACTTTTGTTAGGGAAGCTATGCAAGTGGCAGTGCAACAGCTTTCTACCGCGAGGCACCACGTGGACTCTGATTCGAGGTCGCTGGTCGGTGCAATTTCCCTCCGCAGGCACGCCTGGTTGTGTAATTGCAATTTTCCAGATGAGATGAAGCGGAGAATTGAAGAGATGCCGTTTGACGGTTCCGGCCTCTTCCATGCAAGGACGGACAGCAAATTGAAGAAAATCCATGAATCAAGGATGACCGCCCGTCGTATGGAATTGCAATCTCTACCCCAATGTAAGTGGTCATGGCCACATCCACAGTACCGTCAACAGTTTCCACCTCGGCAGCAGCAACTGCATCAACGTCAGCAGCGTCGCAGGCAACAACCGCCACAGCGCTTCCAACAGGGCCTCCGCCGTTTCGATACGGACAGGTGACAGCGCTGATGTGACGAGCGAACCTCTCCTCTCATTCCAACCCCCCCCCCCCC